TAGTAAAGATATATCAATGGAAGATTTCTTCCAGATAAAGCAATTGATTTAGTTGATGAAGCATGTGCTACATTATTTACACAAAAGAATTCACAACCAGAAGAAATAGATAAATTAGAAAGAAGAGAAACACAATTAAATGTAGAGAAAATAGCATTAGAAAGAGACATTAAAGAAAGTGATGAAGATCATAATAAAATGATTAAAGAAAGACTACAAGAAATTGAAAAAGAATTAAGTGAAAATAAAGAGAAATTAACAAAATTACGAATTAATTATGAAAAAGAAAAAGGAGGAAGTGAAGAAATGAAAGAACTTGCAACAAAAATAGAAGCTATGAAACATAAAGCAGAAAGTACTAAAGATTTAGAAGTAGCAGCTGATTTAAAATATTATGCAATACCAGAAGCAGAAAAAAGAATGAAAGAATTAAAGGAACAAAATAAAGAAACAACAATGATATCATTACAAGTTACACCAACACAAATAGAAGAAGTAGTTAGTAGATGGACAGGAATTCCTGTTACTAAAATGAATCAAACAGAGAAAACAAGACTGATGAAATTAGAAGAAGAACTACATAAACGAGTAATAGGACAAAATGAAGCAGTAACAGCAGTCAGTGATGCAATTATTCGAAGTAGAGGAGGATTAGGAAATGAAAAACGACCAACAGGTAGTTTTATGTTTTTAGGACCAAGTGGAGTAGGAAAAACCGAATTAGCAAAAGCATTAGCAGTTGAGTTATTTGATGACGAACAAAATATAGTTAGAATAGATATGAGTGAATATATGGAAAGTCATAGTGTATCAAGATTAATAGGAGCACCACCAGGATATGTAGGATATGAAGAAGGAGGACAATTAACAGAGGCAATTCGTAGAAAACCATATAGTGTAATATTATTTGATGAAATTGAAAAAGCACATCCACAAGTATTTAATGTATTATTACAATTATTAGATGAAGGAAGATTAACAGATGGAAGAGGAAGAACAGTTGATTTTAAGAATACTATTGTTATTATGACATCAAATTTAGGAAGTGAAATAATAATGAAAGGAGTA